AGCGTTCTCTGGTATATTGTGCTCCTAGTAACCTATCAAGAGGAATTTAGCTACATATTATCAGTGGTATAAACGATAGCAATCAATGCCAAAAAATCTAGTCTCTGTACTCAGAAGAATAGTGTTTAGTCGACTTCTTTTTTACCTTTTTCGTCTATAATAATGTAAATATATCTTGCTGAAACATTTATAGATAATTAAGACTCCAAACACTTTGCCAATTCCTTTACCCACCACCCTTGTTTAATTGATAAACATTCGTTTCAGTTTTTTACAACTTTATGAACATTCTTATTAGTTAGGTTCAATACCACTGCATATTTACCTAAACCTTAAGTAATACTTTGCATATCCGTTAGTGTACTCATATATTCCTTCTGTGTTTATGATATTAAAAACTGGTCATTTCCTGCTATTATCACAGTGTTCACTACATATCATCACTATCGCTATTTCTCTTAAAGTCACCCTTGTTTGTTTATTTCTTTGTAATGTTCACATTCTTTTCTCATACCACTGCTTGAAATACATCCTTATGTTGGTTGTAAATTCCCGTCTGAAAATCTCATATTTTAGCATATTCTACATTCTGTATGCTTTTAAATGATATTCAAAACGAACTGACTATTATATAATCTTTTATTTGGTTGGTGATTAATAACAGTGGAATCAAGAACACGTCTTCTGTCTTATTTGGGACTTGTCATCAGGATATACCTGACTGATGGTGTCGCAGATAATACTGGAAAACCGTATCGTTCGTTCATCGTTCCAACCTTTACTTGTACTACAGTTCAGTTTCCAATTCTATTTTGATATTCTTTCATTGGCTTTTAAATTCTAATGTATGTTAAACAAGTTTATTTTCAATAAGAAGTGAATTATACTTCGCTGACGCAACTAAGAAGTGATAATACTCATTAAAGAATATGAAACAGTGGAAAGTAAAAGTAGTGAGAAATTATGAACAAATAGAAAGAAAAATTTATTAACTTTAGATATCCAGTTGAAGTACGATTACAGTAACAGGCCTTTTTCACTTATTTGAATTAAGACAAAAAATCCTTTGAAGGTAGTCCATTTTTTATGTTTATGTGTACTTTTATGAAGAATATCTCTTTTCCTCAGTCACTGTGGTAAATGATGTTTTATTGATGATACGCTTATTGAATATAATGATTACCTGTTATCACAGTTTCTACGTGTTTGTATATAGGTTAATCGTTTCAGCCTAAATCAGTGATCATGCCTGCAGACTGTTCATTTGATAAGTTCCACTGAAATTTATGAATTTATCCTTATAAAGAGATGCAGGTTTTCACTTCACCCACGATCATCGATCATCTCACTATTAGATACTAATTTATACACATATTTTTTGCTTCTTTTCTTTGCCGATACAATGCCTTACACTAGTTGCTATGGTTTGTTTGATTTGACTAACATTCCCAGCAGAAACCGTTTGGTAAAAAATTATTTTATTCACGCCCAAATGCCTCAGGTAGATGATGAGAGCAGTTAGCTCAATTATTATTATTGTTTCCTTCAATTCCTGGAGGAACATAGGGCTTCAGTCACACGTCTCCATTGCCTTCGGTTCGCTGCCAACGTTTTCACCTGGCTCCACGTCTGCCCACATGCTTCCATCTCCTCTTCACATGACCTCCTCCACGTCACCCTCTCACTGACGACCACCTCGCCTCTTCCTATTCGGGTTCCATTTGAGCTATAGCCTGGCATGTGATGCCACTTGATGGTTTCCTCAGTGTGTGGCCAATCCATCTCCATTTCTTCCTGCCTATTTGTTGCACAATCGGTTCCTGGTTGGTTTGCTCATTGCCAGAGATCCTTCCATGTTGCTGATCTTTTCTGGCCAGCCATCTGATCTTGAGTGTATTGAACGAAGACAGCTGTTGATGAATATCTGAAGTTTGTTTGAGATGCTCTTTATAACGCACAGTGGAAGTCTCTGATCCGTATAGTAGCACTGACTGAATTCACATTGGAGTTGGAAATCCGGATCTTAATTTTCATGCTGAGTGCTGTTGACCTCCACACAGACTTGAGAGTAATGAAAGCTTGCCTTACTTTCCCGATCCTCGCTTCGACACCTTCATTAGTTCCGTCCTCCTGTAGTTGAAACTATGCATCATATGTCCGTAGATAAAGGAGGTTGCTTCTTCCAGATTTCTCCCATTTATGCTGATCACCTCTGTGATGAAGCTCAATAATGTGTGGAATGTAAGCAGTGGATTAATATTCGTCATTATTTGAGAGAACACAAATGATTATATATCCACTCTAGAAAAAATATGAAGTCGAGTTCTAAATAAGCTGATGTGCTTATGAATACTATACACAGAAAACAAAGTAAATAAGTGAATAATCAATATTTTCATAAATTTAATTTCTTTCAATAAAGAAAGAAGGAACAGATTTACAGTATAAAATGATATCATCGTTCTATTTTACAGGTTTTCATCATCTGCAAACTACCTGAAAGCAAGGAGGGGCGGGAGGAGAAGACAGAAAACAGAAAAATTCAATAAACAATGCTTGCATGTAGGTTTACATAGGAACTCAAGAAGGTTATAGTTCATAAAAAATTGCTCATTGAGTTTAAGTCATTGATAAGGGTGATTAATAAATGTAATCAAAATGTAGTCATCAAGGGAGTGACAGATTGATTACACTCTCTTTCTGTATGCTTAAATTCGGTCTAAAAGGCATGGTTGGGATTTCTCTGGCAAATCGTAGTAAATTGGCTGTCCTTCGTATGGTTAATATTTCGAAGGATTTAGAAATCTCGACGAAATGAACCCTATCCACAAGTTTTCTGATAAATGCTCTTTGTGGATATCTGTTTCCTTTCAGACATAAGTTTTTTGGGCTAAGCTCTGAAAACCAGATCGAAGTCTTTCTTTCTGTCGTTCCAATATACTTGCTGCCACAAGTGCAGTGAAAAGGATAAATGCAACTTTTTATTCCTTTTGGTTCCCAGCGGAAAATAGGGCTTCAAGCCACAGTCTTGGAGTTCCAGTAGCTATGGTGTTTAGTCTTTAAGGGATGAGGTTGCCAGCCTTATACCCCACCTTCTGTCTTTACCAGCTTTATTACCGGCTCAGTGAGGTAAAGAAGTGTGTCGACCAGGGATAGAACACCGGACCACATTCGTGGTTGGCAAGCACTCTGCCGCTATGCCACTGACGCACCTTATCCAGTTTTGAAATGGGTCATAAAGCATGTGAAACTGTATAACATTACAAGCTTGGCTACAAGGAGGCTTCTTTTTATTTCTGCTTTCATTCTCTTGTCAGTTGTTTTTGTTGCTGGTTCTCCCTTTGAGGTGGCGGCAAAATGAACACTTCTTTTTCAACAGTTGGATATTTCGTTGTTTCGTCCTTCCGGATAATTCCATTTGGATAACCATTTTCCCTTGGACATTTTTCAAGGCGAAATTCTTCTAACACCTTGTTAGATGAACATAACTTCTCTCTGTCATACAACGACCTTAGTAACCCACTCTTATAGCTTATGGAGTAGAAGCCGTTATAGTGAAGATATTGTCCAGTCCAGGTTTCTTTTCTGCAGATTTTCGACAGTATCACAGTTTCCTCTTCTTACATTACAGTTATGTTCATACTCCGTGGCGAATTTAATGTCTGGGTGGATCTCATGAAGATGGTCAAATAATATCGATGTCTGACTCATGTTGTTACAAACAAAAAGGTATCATTGACATTTCAGTGTTAGATTATTTCATTGACAGCAGAACTCAATAGCGTCTGTCGGAGAGAGGTCATGAAAATATCAGCTAGAACAGGTGCCAGAGGTGAACCCATGAGGACCCATCAATGTGTCAGTGAAATTAATTTTTAAATTTCAATTGGATGTCTTTTATGCAGGAGAGTAGTAGACACTTCAACTCTGTTTCTGGTATTGGTAATAGACCTGTTTGTTTACAAATGATGTCGATTGTTTCGACCACTGGTACATTTGTAAAAAGGGAGGTCACGTCATGCGACACCATTATTTCATCTGATATATCGACATGGTTGACTTCCTTAGAAAATTGGAAGGTATCTTTCAAGCTATGAGCTGCAAATTTATTTCGAATACGCTCCAATGAATCAGCTAACTACTTTTTTGTTTTCTGTCCTCTCCTCCGGCCTCCTTTTTATTATAAAGGCACATAGATTGATGGTAACTTAAATCAAATCTCTAATGCTTGTGTATCGGATTTTGTAATGTTTCCTTTACTACTATCCAGACTTTGAAGTATGGATGTTATTGTCATTATTTATAGCCATTGCAATTTCAGGTAGTTTGCAGCTGATGCGAACCTGTGAAATAGAATGATGATATCATTTTATACAGCAAATCTGATCTTTCTTTCTTTATTGAATCAACATTTTATCAAAGAATATTATTCAAGTGAAACAGCATTTCATTTCATTTATAAGTCTGTTATGTTATAGTAATTGTTCTCTCATCAGAGTACATACAACCTTATCCTAAAGTTGATTATCTTGAGGTTAGCGTTAAATCATAGTCTTTTCTCTTTTTTTTATGAAACTCTTAGTATTGAATATTTTCTCCTCGATGACATAGCTGTTGGTTTTTAAGTTAAGAATTACAGAAAATTGGTTGTAGATAGCATTTTGATGGATTAATACGAGTTGTAACACAATGGAGATAATTAATACAGTGTCGAACGAAACTTTGCAAGTATTAAAACTATCATTTTTCATTGCAGTTCAACAATGAATTGTGAGCCATACATACATGCATACACACAGAGACAAATCGTTACATGTATAACCTTTCCGAAGGGCAATTAATCTGCTGAATCTTCTCGACTGATAAGGATTTCCACTTTTCACACTGACTAAAAACAGAGATTCGTCATCAGAAAAAGCTTGTTGTAGAAGGTAGTTCCATAGAAGTCAAGTATAAGCAACCTTGCTGTTTGAGATATGATAATGATTTTTTTGTAACAGTGAAGATTGATTCAGTCTAACTAAATAACACTAATCAATAACCAACCACCTGTTATCAGTTGTAATTGGTTATTTTCTTTTCCAATGAGATTTCTATATCTGACGTGTTTGAAATAAAAAGTATGAATTATTGTCAGTAGTATCGTTTTTTATGTTTCAATTCCAGCTTTTGAAATAATGAGTAGTTCTTGTAATTCATTAAGATGCAGAGTTGTGACTATGCTTTTTTTAATCGCTATAACACTTTATGTAGCCGTTGAATTGTGTCTTTTCACATCAGACCAATACGTGTTCTACAGGTAAACAATGTGTAATGTTTCAGAACTAATAGAAAATTGTTTTATGTTTTAAGATGAATTGTAATCATTTATATTTTTTTTTATCATCAAGAGTGAAGCCAAAATGTTTTAATATTGTGCATATAAATTAGAGTTTATGTTGTGCATATTTTAAGGGCATTTTTTTTGACAGTCAGACCTTTAATGATATAATAGGTGGCGACCAGAGGTCAGTGGAGCTGTGAAGTGAAGGCTACTACTCTGAATTATTATTATTCTATCTAAATGTTCAGTTCTCCAGTCATTACCCATTATATAGTATTTCTCTCTAAGTCTTACAAATTAGAATTTTTGATGCTCTAAACTTTAGATGTCACGCTGAAATTTATTGTACATCAAATCAAGCAATAGCAGATGACGTAGGCTTTATGGCTAACCATTCAAATAAATACTGATAAACTGGGATACTCTATGAATACTTTTACAAACTACATCTCCCTCTGGATTGATCTGTCAGTTAAATCACTGTTCACGCTAACATTAAACTTCTGTTCTTCTGCTACTTGTGTTCATCTCATTGATACTACCCTGATTACTAACCAATCCACGAAATTAATAGTCTGTCGGCCAAAAGCATCAAAAAGAATTGAACGGTGGACAAATAAGGTTTGCGCTCTAGAACTAACTGAATAGTATGACCTTTATGAACCTTTTTTTATAACAATGACTTAAGTGTCATTTACTTGCACCAAAGTTTATACGAATATTAATGTGAAAACCTCTATGGATGTAAATCAAGCTCATACAGAGATGAAAATTTCATAACATCGGATCACTGAATAGTTTTTTTATTAGATATTATATGAATGTGTAAATAATGTAATCAAGTAACTATCTTAGTCTTTGAAGTGAGTCACCAGCAGAATATACATCATTTGGTTTATTTCGAAACACCAGTTGTTATGTGATAACTTCCTCCTGACATTTACATTCTGGAATGAACAAATGAGCGACGGCTGAAAGGGATGCAGCAGAAAATCTGTTTAAATGATTTAAAGCTATAAGGAGTAGCTGAACATCGTTTACATTAACAGGTAGCTCTTAACAACCAGAAGAATGCCATCCAAACATCAGATGGTTATTTCATGCTTTTGGAGAACTCGGTGTACCAAAGTCGAGGTAGCTCAGAGAGCGGAGTTAGTTTAAACTACCTGAATTCTGACTAGCTGTTATGTACGATTGTATTACTGTTATGCAAATGAGTATGATAGAATGCACAACTATGGAACAGACGAGATTTTTCAACAGCTTTGCCTTGCAATGACCCATCCATCTGGATTTAAATCTTTTCAGACTTTGATTGTTCAGGTAAACGTAATCACCTATTTTAAATTGGCGATAATTGCATAGAATCTTATAAATTTAATACGTTGGCCTAATGGTCATCTAAAATTTCTTTTATTAAGAAATTGTTTCACTGAGAATTTCACATTCATTAACATGAACCTTCTGGTTTATGTCGAAGTTCTATTTTTAGTGAAGAAAGGAAGTAGTCTGTAAACTACAACTGTCAATCTCTGAATTTATTCCCTTTGCAACTCCAGAGAACGATAATTTCTCCCAATATAGAAGCGTTCATTGACAAATGTAAGGTGGTGTGCACAGTGAAAAGTTACAGTTGTTTATTTAATAAGGTTTAGTACATTTTTACAGCTGATAAAATAAGTGTTTCCAGCAATTTAATAAATGTTGCACTTGTCGAAATAGAATATTCTCCGGGGTTTCTGTACAGCCATAGGAATGGTTCACCTTTAAAGTTTATGCTTTACTCTTTTCCAGTGAAGGGTGTATATTTTAGACTATCTTTAGGGGGCGGGGCGGGGAAATGGATGTTTTAAGATTTTATGATAGTCTGTCATCGGTAAACAATATGTTATCTGAATTAACATTATTGTAGAACCCACGAATGTCAGCAACACTCGCATTCTGAACTGTACATGTTTTGATGGACACACACACAAACACGAATTCTGCCAAGGATTTTGTAGTGAGACGATGTTTGTTCGTAAAATGAAATTCTCTCAATGTATGCTAAAACAATTTAATATCGCATTTAATCTATCATTATAATAATTAAATGACACTACTAGTAAGGGAAGCGCGATAACTAATACATCTCCAATTATTTTGTTCATTTACATTGACTTTCTATTTCTGTACTGGTGTAAACTGACTTAACAAGTGGATGTATGAGACAAATACATACTGAAAACATACTAATACATAACATCTTCCACTTATCATTTTTATAACTACAGTTATGTGGATTAAAGGGTATTACAAGAAAGCCTATGGAGGTCTAATGAAGACGAGTTTAGTACAATTGTATATTTCCTTCAAAATCTAACTTCTTAGCACACAGTTACACAAAATAGCTGCAACTACTGAATTTCTGTGCATAAATACCCTTCCATCTGTAAATATATCATTTGTAAATCTACATGCTTCAAAATTACGGTCAAATATCCTAAAAGCAAATAAGAACCAGAGAAATATAGCGCAGGTGTATCAATTGTAAAACTTTCTTACTCATTGATTCTCGTTCAGTCAGACTTCCACTAAAATAATAACGATTATCAGGCTACCGTAAATAGAATGTCTTGAAATATTTCTTTAAGAAGGTAAGAAGGTCACACAGGCTGAGAGCTGGACAAATAAGTGGTTGCATTCCTATTTTTCTGATAGGAAGCAGTACACTGTCTACAATGGAAAGTCCTCCACTACCTCACTTACTTTAGCTGGTGTTCCTCAAGGTGCTGTTCTTTCTCCCTTTCTGTTTTCCTTTTTCTTACATGACTTGCCTCATTCTGATGTAGCCACTTTTATTAAGTATGCCGATGACCTCTCGGTTTCTATGCCTGTCAACTCTCAGTCAGATTGTTCCAAATTAAATAACTTTCTGTCGGAAATTAGTCAGTGGTCCTCTTCAAACGGACTTAAGCTTAATCCGGCTAAATGTCAGGTAGTCAATTTCAGTTTCAGACGTAAATGTGACCTACAGCAACTAGTTAGCTCACATAGCCCCACTATCATTGACGGCACAGAGATTGAAAATACATCTAATGCCAAGTATCTTGGGCTGAGTTTTTCTGCCGATCTTTCCTGGTCTTTCCACATCTTACTAGTTACTAGAAAGATGTTTCGCTTAACGTTCTACATTAGGAAATTTAGGCAGTCTGGCATAAAGCAGTCTTTGCTTTCTCAGTTTGTAAATTCTTGTATTCTACCCATCCCCCTTTACTGCTCTCCATTAATCTTTCCTGGACTACTTAAGAAAGACTTTGCTTTCCTGAGAAGGGCACTAAAAGCCGTTAGTAGGGCAAGTGGGATATCGTTAAACCAACTGGTTAACACTATTGTAGATAGACATATTATATCATGTAAGAAACTAGCGAATACAATATTGTCGGACCCCGAGAATCCTCTCTATACGCAGCTGTCTCCATGCATTTCATCTGGTAGAACTAGAAGCAGCTATAGGCGGCTATATGCTAGGTACACCAAAGACAAAAACTCCACAATACCATATCTGTCACAGCTGTTATGTGATGAGAAATCTGTTAGGTATGACACGATAAACTTACTGTGGCACTCTAACAAATAGTCCCATTAGTTTTTGTTTTCCTATCCTCGTTACTATTACACTGTTGTTCTCATCTTCTATCACACATCAACTTTATATTTCATATCCTGTGGTGCATTGTTTGAAATGTAAACTCTACGCTGTTTTTATTTCTTTTATTTTTTTGTTGGTTTTTTTCATTTCTTTATTATTATTTTTGATTTTAAAAGTTATAAAATTTATGAGGTAATTAGATGCAATATACTGTAATGCACGCTGAAAATTCCATACCTGTACCACAAATACTGTTTGAAATAAAGCTGTTAATATTATTATTATTAAATTCCTCAAAACTTATTCCAACACCATGCCTTTTACAAATTGCTTTGCATTTCGTTCATGGATTGTAAACGTACATTACCATGAGAAACAGAGATACCATCATTCTATGTGTTTTGCAGACCAAATCTTAAGCTCCAGTAAACGTTGTGTGTCTGATTATTAGTTACTTCTATGTTCCCTTATTAAGTTTCAACGATCAATAGTTCCGTATAACAGTCATATTTAACTGTACTGGGTTTATCGAATGTGTAAATTATATCTTTTCTGTCCGTACAGTAGTATGATAAATGTATTGTAGTGATCAGTACCCACTGGATTTTGTTTACGGTTAACGAGAGCTCATGTGGTTAAAAACACTATTTAATGTTTAAATTACGAAACGATAACACTGAATTTACCAATATATTTTTCACATTTGTAGAGCTGTCACTGAACAAGGACTACCCTACTTAACTCGGACTGAAAGACATAAATATAAAAATTTGTAAGTAAATTGTTGCTGATAATATAAATATGTAAAACAACAAATTATTTTATCACCATATATGAGTTTACTGGATTAAATATCATGTCATGCCTCAATTTTTCGGTCTCTCACTAGAGTTAAGTCTACCTGTATTTTGAAGTATTGAGTACTTTCTGATCAAAACGAATTAGGAATTCAAGTTCTACTATCTAAATTTTTTCATCTTTTGGTAAACTTTTCACATTTTAACATAAAATGCTTCCTTCTACTAGTGCTGTTTTAAAACAAATTGCAATTTACATTAATTGTGCGATGCTGAACATCAGAAAACTAGGAATTTCCAGTTTTCCGTTTCTGAATTCCATTTAGTTCCTTTGATTTAATTGCAACGCTCAACATAGTTGCCTAATCTCACCTTAATCTTGACAAGTTCCTGTATGATAATGGCTTTAAAAATTATTGTCTGTCAGGTCATTCAATGTGTAAGTAAAGCAATCAGGTATTGAGTGTTCATGACAGCATGAAATGAACTAATTTCATATTTGTTTCTTTAGATCTGATGAGGATCAGATTAAGCTGAAATTAGCTCAGAAAAAGGCTGCTTTGCTCGAACTTACAGGCAATGCGGGAAGAATGGTCATAGGGTTGATTACGACAATAATTGTTGGCCATATATCTGATGTGTACGGTCGGCGAGTGGCGCTTGGAATTCTGATGATTGGAGAAATATTTCACATTGGTATTACAAGTCAGTTAGTTCATTTCAGAAGTGGTTCTTTTCTATTTTTTAATAATTGTTTTTTTTAATTACAAGTTTTCATCCAGTTGTATTTGCTATCTTATACATCGGCCGTCTTCATCTCGATCAGTTATCTACATGGTAATTTTGTTGCAATACTTAAGTGACAGGTTAAGCATTTGAGAAATATGCAGTGTTTGATTGCTGAATGAAAAGTAGTACCTTCATGCCTAATGTTTATTTTGGAAATCTATCCATAAAGTACCTTTAATTAATTTGAGCAGAGTGAGGATGTAGATATTCCAGAGATAAATGGAGCTCTTTTTATTGTAGGAGGCTTCAAGCATTCCTTTATAACAGCACTTCCACAATTTGACCCAAGGTTCTAATGAAACATGTGACGAACTCTATATCATTTATTTTGTCTTAACAAAATGCTTTCCTAAATAGTCGTTTATGAGAGTCAGTGTTTTTTAAAAAGCTTGAAAATAAAATGAGTATTGTTTATGGTTGATCTCTTGCGTTAATAGTGAGTGTAAATTTCAGAGTCGTCTAATAAGAACAGTTGTCGATTGCACTGTGATAAAATCAAGTATAAATACACAGGGACTTCCAGTGTTACGAATCTGTTTTATTTACTACGTTCAGCAGTGCTCCCGTAAATATCATAAAATTCTTAAAATGTCACCATAAATAGTGTTGTGTCATGGAGATCTGCTAAAGTACTTGTATTAGTCTGTGTTGTTTCATGGATTTTCGCATATGAATTACGGAATAAAAAAGATTCTGGAGGTTATTTAACAACGCTTTCGACATCACAATTTCCCAGGAAGAAGAATCAGACAGAAATTCTGTGTTTGAATATTTTGACTGAGAAAAACTTTACTGGAATATATGAAACTGAAGTATGCAAGAAATCAGTCCTCACCGATCATATGTCTATATAGAACAACATTTGTCTAGTAAAATACAAAAGAATCTGTATACAGAAAATACACCAAAGAGATAAGACACACTTTGGAACTCGAGTCATGATAAAAACACCGGAGAAACAACTACTAACCATCCTCCAAAAAAATGGATACCTAAGAAGATTTATCCAGTGATATATACCTTCGAATCAAAACAGAAACTTAAAATCACCTTCCGAAACCAAGAGGAAAGTTGTCCTGCCATAGATGAAGAACAATTCTGAAATAACTCCATTATCGATAAGATTTTATTTTGATAAATCACACAGTGTTATACAGTAATATTAACTGATGACGTTTCGAGCAGAAATTATTGTCACTCATAATCATATAAAGTTACTCACACAACTTTCTTTCTTCACTTATGTACATGAGTGGAACTGATTAGACATTTGAATAAAAAAACCAGTATAGGATAATGTACATTCAGAAATAATAATATAAGTGTTAATGATCAATTACAATCAGATGATATGATTATGAGCAATAGTTTGTGCTCGAAACGTCATCAGTTAATATTAGTGTATGACACTGTGTGATTTATCAAAATAAAATCTTATCTACAATGGAGTTATACTCTACCACAGTGCCCAAGTTTTATACTTATATCAATTCTGAAAAAATACTAATCTTCTGAAATATTTCAAGGTAAATGCAGCTCACAAGCCAACACAATATTTTCATTCAGTTTTATGTTGTACCAAAGACCTGGAAGAAAAAGTTGACCTAATAAGATAGATCGTATCAATTAAGAACAGCACTGTAGTGACCAGAGCAGACGTCCTCTTAATCTACTTACTCAAAAGTACAAAAGTAGTCAAACGATATGACATACATTCCTTTATATCAATGAAACTGGACAACTATGGATGTCACACTAGTCGGAATAGTATAAAAACTCTGCACAGTGGAAAGACAGAATACCAGAGAATAACTAAAAGCCTGTTGAATCGTATCTATTTGTAGTTAACGAACCTGCTGTTAAAGACCAGATTTATCAGACAACAAGGGAGATGTCGTATTGAGGGAAGGCTGAATTTCAGGTCGATAAACTTGTGCCTACCAACACAACAAAGCTGGAGACAACTAATTACGTTCAAGTTTACTAGAACTGATGATGAGCATCTTCACCATTTATTCTTACATCATTATGAAGTCAGCGCTGAAGGTGTTGATTAAAAGGATAATTTAGACTCTGTGACAGTTTATCTGTCAGAATAAGAAAGTAGAATAAAATTGTGCAAAAGACTGACACAAAACAAACGTTAATTAGATGTTCATTCTTCAGACAGAGAGGCGAAATCCCTGAGACAGAGATCTCAAACAGAGATTTAAGTATGTTAAACATTTATTACATAGCCATAATAAACGGAATAGCTGACGAAATCTGTTAAATCAGATTTGTGAAAACACGAATTTGTTCTTTTGACTGTTACTTTCCTCTTATATGGTAGTGTGAAAATTTTCCTTCCGTGAAATGTATCCAACTGTTCTCTTTATTGGAAATAAAGACCAATAATTTTGAATTAATTTGGTAGATGGTGACTGACAGTGGAATCAGGACTCGTTACTGGGTGTACCTACCTTCACCACTGACTGATGGTGTTCCCACTAAGACTCGAATCCAGTGTCCATCTTTTCAAACAGAAAAGCGTTACCCAGCGGACCACCTGAGCCATAACAACCACCATTCGTTCGCCGGTCAACAAGAAAATCAAAAGTGACTTAAACAAGAACAAATACTAGTTCTGATTAAAAATATTTCAAAGTTGTACAACCGAAAACAGAAAAAAGAGGTCTTTTATTCACTGTCTGTCCAATTATTCTCAGCAATCTGTTTCAGTTTAATAAATACTGGTAGATTAGAGAGCTCTAAACATCATGTGAGTATAGTAGGTAGTTAAAGCTGTTGTTATGTTATTAAAATTTAAAGCAGAATATCAAATATTAACTAAGCTGTTCTTGAATTTTCCTTACAGTGATGAGCATATTGCATGCATTTGTTTTCCGTGTCAACATTTACATTTTAATGCGTATTTAGGTATAATCATATTCTTAGAATGGAATGTCTGGCTTATAATCGTTGCTGGCCTATTCGAAGCTATTTTTGGCGGTGGTCTTTTGTGCATATTCGCCATAGTTTCAACCATTATTTTCGATGTAACACAAGTAACAATAGATAACAATACTACTAACAATAATGAACACAGTTTTAAAGAAAAGAAAAGCAATGATCAGTTATTATGGATACTAATCACAGTATTTGATTGTGTATCAAGTTTAAGCGCATCATTATCCACTCCACTGTCGGGTATGTGAAATATTACTTCTTTATATTCACTTAAAGCGTTTGTAATGTATGCTGTATTCACTAAAATCATCCGTGAATGTACAGAAATCCAGGGTAAAAAACTGCGTATGAAACTGCCACATGTTTTTATTCCTTTACCTTCTCAGGGGAGCATAGGGCTTGAAGTTTCAGTAGCAGTGGTATTTATTTTTACGAAATGTGGTTGCTAGTCTCATTCTCAGCCTTCCCTCTTTACCAGTCTTATTATTGGCTTAGTGAGGTGAAGGAGTACGTTGGATGGGTATCGAACCCTGGACCACGCGCGTGGTCGGTGAGCATTCTACCGATGTGCCACAGACGCACAAAACTACTATATACTGCATCTAATTAATAGCATCTCTCGATGTAATGCTTAGATCAGACCAGTTTAGTGTCATTGAACACGTATTGTGGCATCTCTAGTCTGTGGATAGTGAAACAGAAGTTATTATTATTATTATTCCCTGGGGTTCGAGTGGAACATAAGGCTATTAGAACACCCCTCTACTTTCTTCTACTTCCTGTTGTCCTCTTCATCTGGGTCCACAACTGACCAACTTCTCCCATATCTTCTTCAGACGATCTCCTCCACGTCACCCTCTCACTTCAGGACAACACACTCGTAGCTTCCCGTTCGGATTCCATCCGTGCGATGGCCTGAATTGCGCGGCCTCCTCAATGTATGCCTGATCAATCCATCTCAATTTTCTCCTACACATTTGTTGAGCGATTGGCTCCTGGTTGGTTTGTTCCCAGACTTTCTTGTTACTAAATATTTCTGGCCAGCCATTTGATATTCAGTATGAAGTCGACGAACTCAGCTGTTGATGAAAGTCTGCAACTAGCTGTTGGAAAACCTTTTCTGGACACGCAGTGCAATTTTATGACCTGTATAGAAGTGCGAATTCTGTTCCTTATGCTGAGTGCAGGAGATTTTCAAGCTGGTTTCACGTTGATGAAGACGTATCTGGCCTTTCCAATTCGGGCTGGCTGCGACATTTTAATTCGTTCCGAGTGCCTTCGGTTGAAACGATGCTACCAAGTCAGATAATTGAAAGAAGTCACCTCTGTCGAATCTCTTCCATTGGTGGTAATTGGCGCTGGTTGTTGTTGTTGCTGTTCGTTGGTTATCTTCATCAACTTCGTGTTCTTTATGCTCATCTACAGTCCTATCTTCGCTATCAACATCTTCTGAGAGTTTGTTGGTTTTCATCTGTAACTCTTCGAGTTTGTGTGACAACAGACACATGTCATCCACGCTCGAAATCCAGATTATATAGAGTCCTCTTATCGGTCAGTGCAGCGTATTCCTGTCTTCTCACTCCCAACTCATAGTCTAACTCACAATCAAGAATATCATCGTCGGTGGTAATAGGCAGACAGCCAACTTGTCGTACTCCTACATGCACTTCGAAAGCATCACTGAGTTCTCCATTGTGGATCACCTGACACATATCAGCCATTGTCATACAGCCATCTGTTGAATGAGGCTGATAAAGACTTTGGAACTGCTTTCCGTAGTGTCGAAGTAGTTTCCAAATTACTTCTCGGTCAAAGCTGTCTAGTGAAGGCCTTTTCGAAGTCGATGAATTTGAGGTAGAGATAGGTTTGACTGCCATTCTATGCTCTTTCGAATGATAATGATGATGTGTAGAGATGCAATCTGATGAGCAAATGATTCGCCTTCACTGAATACATCTTGTTCCTATGGGGCTGGCGGAGTTCTGAATCCAGTGCTTCTTTTATTCTCTCCAGGATGATGCGAATTAGTGTTTTGCTTGTCGTGTACAGGAGCATGATTCCGGCCAGTTCTTGCATAGTGAGGTGTAAAACGCCCTTCCAAGTCAGCTTGACGAGGAGCATCTTATCCAATCGGTAGGTAATTTCTTCCCTTTCCAAGTCTTTTGCAATAATGGTGTGAGAACATCAGCAGACGTCGCTGGTTCCGTTTCTAGTGCTCGCTCCACCCCCTTCGCTGCCGGCGTAAATTACCTTCATCCCATTCAAGATTCCTGATTTTATCGAAGCACTGGTGTCCATTAAAAGGCAGTTCTGTTCGTGATTCTGTGAGTGGTGGTGATGGTGTTATTGTTGGTGGTGTTTCTGGGCGAGTAGAAGGTACGTCGTCGAAGTGTCTTTCGTCCGTCCTGTCACTCCTCTCCTCTTCAATTCTTTCCTTATTCCGTGCAGTGTACACTGAACTCAGCTCCTCCTCCTTCTTCTCTTGTCCATCCCCACATCGAGTCATATTCGCTTTCACCGTCCTCCTCTCCTCTCCTCTCCTCTCCTCAATCAGCTTCCAGGTGGGTAGCCGTTGAGAGCGATGCTGTGTCTCGTAGTGTCTATTCCTTCTTCCCAGAACTGTTGTACACGTTTCCTTGAACATCACGTGGCGAGTGTTAGTTCCAATGTTCTTCCACTCAGATTGCCTCACTCATGTCACAAAGTGTATCCGACTTTGCTCTGAGCTGATCTGATCTGATCTGATCTGATCTGATGAGTAGTTAAGGCAGGTATCCATTGTAGTTCTCTCCTTCAATTTCTGAATGTTGAACTTGAATTCCAGTGGCCTGTTTCCATTTGTCTTGAGGGATTTCAGTTAGGTAGGTTCATAGGTAGGTTCCTTCAACTAGATGATGGTCTGAGACAACATCTACACCTCTGCTTCAATTTGTGACACAACAGACTAGATGTGACTCCACTTACTTGGCCAGCACTCACATGAAGTCCATCTGGTTTGTGGTGTGTCCATCAGCCGAAATCCACGTTACTTTGTGTATATCCTTGTGCTTGTACACCCTGCCTCCGATCACCAAATCACTGTAAGCGAAAACGTCTGTGAATAATTCTCCGTTCTCATTCATCTCGCTAACCAAGATCATCTAAACGCACGATAATTTCTCTTCCTGTATTACCTGTTCCCAATTCGCCTCACATTCACATCATCCATCAGGATCTTGATGTCACCATTTCGGAGGGTGTCCATTATGCTTTCACTTGTCCATAGGAATCTTCCTTCGCCTCTGCTTCAGAGTTGTTTGTGGCCTTGTGTGTAGAATTGCATGATACATGTCACCCTCTTTCCTTCCTGCCTGCCTGCCTGCCTACCTGCCTTTTGAGTTGAATCTTTCTGTCATGATCGTGAAAGAGGAGATTGGTTCCCACTGCATCAGGATTCTGGCTTCTGTCACTGGTAACATCATGATAGCCACTCACAGCCTCAGTGTGTTCGCGGTTGTCCTCTGTGTGACCAGACCGTATGGGATGACTCACTCTTCAGTTGACAATTTTCGTAGTCCAATTCCATCCTATCTGCTCCCTCAGATTCCGAGAACTTCTATGTCAGATCCTCACATTTCGTCGGCTTCCTGGTCAGTCTTCCCAGCCAGTCTTTCATATTGTACGGACATTCCATATCCTCATTCCTACTCTTGATTTCATCAAGGGAAGACAAATCGGCTGTCTGACTGAATGTACCAAAGCTGGCTTTCACCAGTCCTCTGTGTGCCTTCGCCTCTCCGATTTGGGTGAAAAATAAGACTTTTATTTGAATATTTTGTATGCTTAACATATATTTTGTGCGCTTAATTTTTTGTGTATCAGTGTAGGGTCGCTAGTCCCACCCCAAACCCTCCCTTTTTACTTGGGTTTGATACCAGCTAGAAAAGTAGGACATAAGTAACTAGATGAAGTGGAAACAGAAATTATAGTCCTTTAACTATAAAAAAATCATTGGTGAAATTTTTCTACAGCTGTTCGTAATCTTGGAATCTAACATGAAGAGAATTTTATAAAGCTCACCTAATCTTAGACTGGATTATTGTCTTCGAAATATATACATTTAGTTTTGGTTAAACTAACAGGTAACATTGATAATTTCATTCAGTCTTGTCTGTGACTTTGCAGCCTATTTACTGGTAACCAAACGTGTTTTGTTGAGTCTAATTAACTTCAGGCTGTTAAATTATAGCATGGTGTAAAACATTTGTGAAGGCATAATTACAATCCTGTCAGTGAAAGCGGTACACTTGTTGACTTGATAATTAAAAAAAATTAAAACATGTTACATTCTGGTTAAATCACCAAAATGCAGACAATAAGGTGCTAACATCTTTAAGAAGAAAAATATATTATCACATGATGAATTGATTATCTTCGCTGTTTAGACATAAATCAGAAAGTGCAATTGTGGGTGGTCTAAAGGTGAATGCTAACAAAATAAAGCTGCTAAACACATCAAAACAGAATTCATTCTTCACTACTTAACTTTTAATCGCTAATTTGTAATGTTTAGATGAGTGTTCGAACAGTGTATAGTGTACTTTCTTAATTATTTCTTTGAGGATGGCTAACAGTGGAATCCAGGAAAGGCGATCGATCTTATTTAAAGCCCATCATCTGGGTGTAACTCTATCCAGTGAGTGATATTGCTCCCATTAAGGGTTTAGCCTAGTAGCCTTAACAGAGGTCAACATGTCCACATAGACCTGCCACACTGATTCAGTAAAATTACTCAATTTGAAACTCAAAATAATTTCAATTATTGTTACTGCAGTAGTCCTTGTAGTCTTTCTGGTACTAACTAATATTATAGCAATTCCTAAATGAAAGGAAAAACTCCACAGATCTGAGTGCAGCAAAATTCAACTTGATTAATACCACTTAAAGATTGTAATAGAAGAGTTTGAACGAGGTGATTTCTGAGTGATGGTCAACATAATTCCACAATCCTGATTATCGTTCTGTTGATTTCGATCAAATAAGTATTAGGATTACCGGTCAGTGTATTCAGCATTCGGTTTAGATTTCACAAACAGAAATTCCTCAACAGACTATTTGTGTTTAAGAAGTGAATCATTTAGATATGCATGTCTGAACATAGTTTGGAAAATTTGCCGCCTTATAATCCAGTAGTATTTGAAAAAAAAAACTCAAAACATTTCAAAGACGAAACAATGAAATGCTTGGTGAATTTCAAACAGTGTTTGAATATAAATGGAAGCTTTTATTTACTCACGGGGAGTTGGACATCACCATCATAAATTTCTTCCTTCTCCCAATCTGCATTTTTCTTATATTTTTGTTGGCGCCAAATTCAGTTAGTACACATAGCAGATTAACTTAGACTTTGAAGAAATTTCGTTTTCACCACTTATAGGATGCATAAGGGTGGTTATTATTATTCCTAAGGATTTTAGAATAAAAGCTAGTCGGTGTTTCGTTTGCAGAACTCTCATGGGCTATAATTCCATTATAGATAAGATTTTATTCTGATAAATCGCACAGTGTTTACAGTTATATGAACTGATGACGTTTCGAGCACAAACTATTGCTCATATGATTATGAGCAATAGTTTGTGCTCGAAACGTCATCAGTTCATATAACTGTAAACACTGTGCGATTTATCAGAATAAAATCTTATCTATAATGGAATTATACTCTACCACAGTGCCCAAGTTTTATACTTATATCTCATGGGCTACGTATAAGGTCAGGGTTTGACAGCCAACAGACGAACTCCTAAACTTCACTTAGTTTTTTTATTCGTTAAGAAACACAGAAGGTCAACCCTGTGACTGGCGAGCTCATCCCATATGAACAATACTTTTGCTATGGAGCCTGAAGTCCTGTTTTCTCCTTGAAACACAAAGGATGAAAATAAGAACAAAAGACCGTCTGCTATGGTCTGTAGGCAATATAAACACCACTTAAAATCAGTATAAATTAGCTCATATTTAATTCAGAAGACTGGGTGTTTCTAACTCTATTATAAATGTTCATCACTAACGATGCAAGATACACGGAAATAGTTATTGGAGTCTTTGTCAATTTCAAGTTTATCAAAAGTCTCAATACAGGACAAGCAGTTTGTATTTATTGTAATTCTAATCCTCAATGTAACTGTCATGTTCGAACGCTGACATCAGATGGTTTTAGATGAACTCTAATCCAAACATCTTAGTAAAATATTTCACGAAAAGCTCACTAGATTCAGTTAATACTTTAACAATAAACTTCTTGCTAGTTAACTGATCGAAAGCATTTTTACTATATCACTAATCTATCTGTTTCAATCATTTGAATATATGTTATTTTGTCCTTTAAAATTTTCCATTTTCAGGTACCATAATCTACAGATATGGTTTCAAAGCTGCAGTCATCACATTTGTAGCCCTATTCATACCAAGCTTAATATTGATTCTATTTTTACCAGAAACAAATTCAAACAGAAAGTTACCATTTAAAAACAGTCCCAAAAATACAAAAGTGACGGACAGTTCAAATTCCATCGTGTCTGATGATGTCTACAAAATAATCATTGTGTTAAATTCCAAATGGTGGGACAGATTGATGAGATACTGTTCAGTATGTTTCCTCTAGAGTATATTTTGTAATCTTAGTTAAAAAAATAGTTAGATATTTAGTTTAAGACTGGGCACTTGTACTCACAGAAATAGCTTATATGTTGTATAAAGCGTCTGAATGGAAATCCAGTTAAAATTAAAGTGTGACCTGTGTAAGCTACGTATTTTGCAATTCAAGAAATGAATATGTTCACGTCAGTCTTGCAAGGACTGAAGACGAAGTTATATTATTCCCACTTACATTTACACTAATTTCATTTAATTGTAGAAATTTCCTATCTAACTGCATGATTTGTATCAATAACATGTTTATGATAGTTTATGATACACAGTGTTTCATAAAGTTAAATAAACCAAATTTCAAGCATATTTTATCTCTCATAATTACACGAGCAGACGTTGGCTCAGACCACTATCTCGTGCAAGGGACAATCCAAATCAAATTAAAAGCTTTCAGGGAAACAAGAGCTGCAGATAGACCACAAGCCAAGTTCAACACTTAAAAACTGAAGGACTAGGCCACAAAGGACATCTTCATTGCAAACATAAGGGAAAAAGCCGAGACACAAATCAACACTAGCAAAGAGGTCGGCGTCGAAAAGCACTGGGATAACTTGAAAACGGTGTGGAGCTAAACCTGCATGGAAGTTCTAGGCAGAAAGAAGAGGCAGGACAAATGGCGGCTCAATACGGACACTTGGAAACTAATAGAAGAGAGAAGGATAGTGAAACAAAAGAACATCAAGTGCACCGACGAGCAACAAAAACAGGAATTGAATGCAAATCGCAATACGCTGAACAAAAGAGTGAAGAAGAGTGCCAGGGAAGAGACAAAAGAAAATATTATGAAGCCATGGGAAGTGAAGCAGAACAAGTTGCAGTGCAGGCAAAGGAGACCTCGCCACACCCTACCAAACAACTAGGAACCTATCGGGCAAAAGTTCAACACAGATAAACCCAGTCAAGGATGAATATGGAAAGTCAATCACCAAAGAGGTGGAGCAAAGAAAACACTGGGCTGAACACTTCAAAAGACTTCTAAATCGTCCGCCACTTACAACGCACACAACAATACCAACAACGGAAGCAGAACTACCAGTGAACATCGACCCTCCGACGAAATCAGAAGTCCTGAATGCAATCAAGATGCTAAAAGCTGGAAAATCAGCAGGATCAGATAGAATCCCAGCAGAAGCTTTGAAAATGGACCAGAGACAACAGCGGAGTTGATGACGTCACTGCTGGAGAAGGTGTGGAAGAGGGCATAGTACCCGAGGATTGGAAGAAAGGATACTTATTCAAACTACCAAAGAAAGGAGACTTAAGTCAATGCAAAAACTGGCGTGGAATTATGCTCCTGTCCATCCCAAGCAAAATACTAAGCCGCATCATCCTGGAGAGAATCAAACAAGCCCTGGGTGGAAAACTCCGACCGGAACAGGCTAGATTCAGGAGAAACAAGTCATGTATTGATGAAATCGCCACACTATGGATCATCATTGAATAAAGCTTGGAATGACAGACACCTCTCCACCTCACTCTACTTCATCGACTTTGAAAAGGCCCTCGATAGCGGAGTGTCGATCGAGAGGTGATTTGGCAACTACTTCGCCGCTACGGGATCCCATCGACAATTATACATCTCATTCAACAGTTATACGACAATGCTGCATGCCAAGTAATCCACAACGGGAAACTTACGAAAGCCTTCGAAGTGAGGACGGGAGTGAGGCAAGCTGGCTGTCTACTATCACCAATGATCTTTCTGATTGCAGTAGATTGGATAATGCTACAGACAACGGGCGATGAGGAAACAGGCATAAAATGGACTCACACAAAACACTTGGAGGATCTGGACTTCACCGATGATATATGTCTGATTTCCCACAAACTAGAAGATATGCAAGTGAAAAACAACAAGTTGGCAGAAGAAGCATCCAGAGAGGATATGACTTCAGGTGAACATAGATAAAACAGAGGTGATGAAGATTCCTGGACAACACCAACAGCAGCAACAACAACAACAGACGACAGTCAACATAAATGGGAGGAACCTGAAAGAAATAACCTCCTTTACCTACCTACCTTGCAAACATCGCTGTTTCAACTACAGGCGGACGGATCTGACGAGGATATCAAAGCGAGAATCATCGGAAAAGCAAGACAAGCTTCCATTACCCTTAAGTCTGTGTGGAGGTCAACATCACTCAGCATCAAAAATAAGATCCGGATTTCCAACTCCAATGTGAAGTCAGTCAGTGCTACTATACGTATCAGAGACTTGGCCGGCGCGTCATAAAGAGCATCTCAAACAAACTATAGACCTTCATTAACAGTTGTCTTCGCTCGATACTACTCAAGATCAGATGGCTGGCCAGAAAAGATCAGCAACAGGGAAGGATCTCTGGCAATGAGCGAACCAACCAGGAACCGATTGTGAAACAAATTGGCAGCAAGAAATGGAGATGGATTGGCCACACACTGAGGAAACCATCAAGTGACATCACTAGACAAGCCATCGCTCGAGTGGAAGCCGAAAGGGAAGCGGGCGGCGAGTTGGTCGTCAGTGTGAGGGTGATTTGGAGGAGGTCATGTGAAGAGGAGATGGAAGCATGTGGGCAGACTTGGAGAGGAGTGAAAAAGTTGTCAGAAAACAGAAGGCAATGGAGACGCGCAGCTGAATCCCTATGTTCCTCTAGGAATTAAAGGATATAATAGTAATAATTACACGATTGATGGCAGGCATCCCTTTGATAATATCACAGTACGAAACTGCATGCCATTCTGAGGCATTGAAAAGCTTAAAAATAAGTGTTGAAAATAAGTGAAAAAAATTCTAAAATTATCTCAGGAATGGATGTGTCATTCTTCGAGAAAAGAGTCTCTTCGCTGAATCACTTGTTTTGATTTTCTAAATGTTACAATGGGAATTTTCCATGAGTTAAAAAATAGCAAAGATCCCTCGACAGTAAAGGAACTCAACGGGTTCCTGCGTTATTCTGTCAAACTTGCCGTGGTGAATGCAGAGATTTGTTTTCTTAATGAATGCATCAATAATCATGAGTATCCGAAATGGTATTGGAAAGTGCTCCGACGCAATCACATATATCCTAATGCAAAATCTCTCAAGAGACACGCATTAAATCACATTGATTCTATCAGTTCACGTATCCCTGAGCTAGAAAGGAATATATCACAAAGATCTTCTGCTCTATATGACTTATCGGTTGATGAACGTCAGACGTTTAATGATTATGTCAATGTGGTCACCAACAAACAAACTATGTCTTTTAATTCAAAGCTATCTAATAGCCTAAAACCTATCGAACGTCTTCGAAAATTTCCTGAGAATTCTGAGAGATACGTGTTCAACCACTCCTCTATATCTTTATCGAAATTACAAATGGAAGCCTTGTCTATGGGCTCGAAGTTTTGCGATGTTAATCTCAATATCAACAAGCTACATACTCATGTCCAGTTTGAGAATTTACTCAGTCAAACCTATGATCTCACACCATCGTCAGACCAGGATTTCCAATGCTTCAAATCTACCATTACGGACTCCTGCAATCAATACCTTAATGCTAGACCAAAAATGCAAAGTCTTCTTACTAAACAGCACAAAGAAGAACTTAAACTTTTGACGCATAACAGCGATATACTATTAACACGCCCTGACAAGGGTACAGGTGTTGTTATTATGGATCGAAAGATTATATCGATAAAATGTCATGTCTACTTTCAGACAGCAGTAAATTCTCGAAACCGAACGAGAAAAACAAGACGGAATTAATTGAGAAACAACTTACCGATACTTTAAAGAGAATGAAGAACAATCATCTCATTCGTGAAGAATTATACGAAAAGATCAGACCAACAGGATCTCTAATACCAAGACTGTATGGTCTACCGAAAATACACAAAGCTGGAGTTCCACTTCGCCCTATCTTGGATATGTCTGGATCGCCCTATCATCCAGTAGCTGGGTGGTTAGCTGAAATCCTCGAACCAGTCAGGGGGCAACTATCTAATCATTCCCTTCGGGACACCTTCCAATTTGTTGAATGTATACAGGATATAAATGCGTCGAATAAACAAATGTTGTCTTTGGATGTAGAATCCTTATTTACGAACGTTCCACTGACAGAGACCATATGTTTTATATGCAAATATATTGAAGACAACAAATTGAACATAGGGATACCTACTACAGATCTTAAAGAACTACTTTTGAGATGTACATTGAATGTACAGTTTACTTTCAATGAAACAATCTACAGGCAGAAGGATGGTATTGCGATGGGTTCTCCCTTGGGTCCTCTCCTTGCAGACGTTTTTATGTCCAGTCTAGAAAATGGTTCCCTGAAGCCTATGATCCAAAGCTTTCAAATATATAAAAGGTATGTAGATGACACCTTTATTATTTGTAATATTGATTGTAACCTGAATAATATATTAAGTGTATTTAATGAGTGCCATCCTGCGATAAAATTCACACTCGAAATGGAGAACGAGTCTAGCATTCATTTCCTCGATGTGAACTTATCAAGAAGGACCGATGGAACTCTGAAGAGATCGATTTATCGTAGGCTGTTATGGAATGGTCAACTGACAAATTTCTATAGCTGGGTACCTATTGGTCGAAAACGAAACCTGGTCCGGTCGCTTGCCACTCGTATTCGGCGCATATGTAGCACTGATACTGTGGAAGATGAGTTATACACTTTGAGGAAAATCCTAATGGAAAATGGATTTCCACCACGTTTTATAGATAAGAATATACATTCAAAGCCTACAAAACGTGACTTATCAACCGCTCCCAAGAAAATACTTTACATGAGCTTAGAATTCAAAGGGGACTTAGCTTCCGATATCATGAAACGAAGGATATCACAGTCCCTGAAAAGAACATTCCCTGCTGCCTCCCTGAGAATAGCTTTTACTAGCCGACCATTATTGTTCAATAACCTGAAGGACAAGATCCCAATGTTGACCAACTCTATGTGCGTTTATCAATTCACCTGCTCTTGTGGAGCTAGGTATATCGGTCGTTCGACTCGAGTTTTGTCCAAGAGGGTGCAAGAACATTATCCTGCATGGCTACGAAAAGGTGGAAGTGGAGCAATAAGAAGCGCGATCATAGAACATCTGGTCGAAAATGATCACCCTATCTCTATAGCCTCCGCCTTTAAAGTCATCTACAAGGCAAAGAGCAATTTACCTAAATCCCTACGTACCCGACTCATCTGTATTGCTGAAGCTTTGGCTATCGAAACAGAAAAGCCAGATCTCTGTGTACAGAAAAAGTTCGTTCAACCCCTCCAACTTTCATGGTCTTAATCCCTCTATGCTAAAATATGGTAATCCCCAATCATATTTTAGCTCTACCAATTTTTCATTTTTCATTTTGTCTATTCAATTTGTATACTCTTCCTTATTAAGTCAATTGTTATTATTACTATTCTCACTTTGAACTGTCCCCGGTATTATTTCACTTGTTCCACTTGTCATTCTAAATACTACAAACTCTATTGAAACTGAAAATGTATCAGTAGAATTTTGTATTTAATACAGATTTCATAAATAGGAAATCAGAGTAAAATAACAGCAATCTAAAGTGTTTTGTATAAGCGTATCATGGTCAAAAGAGAATTTTAAAGGACTCATCTGATTTGCCTAATATATGAGCAGACTTATTCCATTAGTTTCAGTCTCATTTATGGCTAAATTGTGAATTATCCCTTCGTAATGGAATTCATCCACACTTCTCCTCCAAGCCTTTTTCCTTAAAATCCTATTTTTGTCTTCGTCCAACCGTAAATTTAGTTGATTTATGTAGCGTTTACTGAAGATATAGGAGGATATGGAGTCAAACACTTATTTATTTATATATATATTTGAGTTAGTGCATTCACCGGTTGTAGAAAATGTATCTGTATCATTTCATTTTACAAACAAAGTGTTCTAATCATGAAGTGACAGATTTCTTTGATGTCGTTGCTTTTTTATTCTTCTAGGTTTTGAAATATTTGGACGCTTTTGTCATTATACTTGGATTTATTATATTGTTAGGTTCAATTACTACTCTGACAGATCTTCAGTATTTGGCTGTTTATCTGATGGGTACACCTTTTCTATGGAATCCTCAACAAGTTGGAATATATGTGTATGTTTAATGCTTTTAAAAATGGTAAAAGTTTTATTTCAGGGGGAGCTTGTATAGTAGGCGTCAGTTGACTGATACCCGATGAATAAAGATGATATTTGTTTGTTATCAAGAATGAATTCCATCCTTAGGAAGACACAAAAACCTTAGAAATGAACGTCTTCACTGTCACAACAGATACGACTTGTGTCTTAAGGACAAAAGATTAGTTTACACAAGTACGTAAACCATTTGAACGAGACTGACAGTGACAGATACTCTGTTGGGAAAAACCATTCAAAGTAAGATTAGTAGCTCATGGCTGCCGTTTGTAAGCGTAAACTTATTTGCTTTAGAAGCACTTTATTTCATAGCGATAAACTTATGGATATGATCTTAGTCGATTTATTATTCAGAAGAGCACCTAACAGTGACTACTTGTTCCTTAATCTTTACCACTAATTAACTAACCGAGAGTAGAAATTGAGAAAAACATTTTGAAGATATTCACCAATTATTTTATTTTAGAACTGTACCGGATGTACTATCATTAAGATAGTTTTGCAGTTTTACGAGCCAGGGAAAACTACATTCTGAATTTTATACCAAATAAAGATGGGTTAATTCTTTAACAGCGTCAGTATGAAAATCTTGACCTAAGTGTTTTGACTGAAAATCGTCAAAAACCTCAAATTGTTAAAACCTCAGTGAAGCTGGATGTTTTCTATACAGAAGTGATTCCGTAGTGATAGGAAAATGCGTATTGGTCTACACTCTGATGCCTAGAAAATGTAGTATTGACAAGCACGCAGAACAAATTTTCTTGTAACAAACTGCATATAACTGCAGTTATGCAGCTGTAATAACTGGTTTAAATTTCAATTACAGATAACAAGGTTAATAATTTATTATTTGATTTTTTGATTTTTGATTTTCAGCTTGATTCCACACTGTATTTTCGGTACAAGTATGGAATTTTCAGCATGGATATCGGTAGCCCAAATTTTGCAGGCCGACCATAGATATGAGGTGTGCGCTGGCGTGGGCTCGAACCCCGGACCATATGCATGGTCGGCGAGAGTCCTAACCACTGTGCCACCGACGAAATCCTCCCACTGTATGTTGCTTAATTTGCTCGTCATCAAGTCTTCAGCCAATGACTTAAGCAGGGAGAATTGATTACCACAGTCTTGACCTACCAGTGAATTTAAAGGACACTCAGGTGGAATGTCGTCTGAGTAGTAGTTTCTAACAATAAAATAGCATGAAAACTTTTTTTCAGATCAAACAGCTCAGAAACACCTCCTCTAACCTTAACATTATCTCTGTATTTATTAAATAATTTCTGAAAGTCGCATACAGAAACGGTATTTAAGTGAGATAACGCAAAGAATGAAGAAAATATGGGGAACACTAGAACTTTCCATTTAATTATCGGCCGTCCAGCAACGTTTCTTAACCATTCAACTTGCACACCAGAATAGTCACCATACAAGACTATGTAAATGCATTCATAAATGAAGAATATCTGGAGTTATATCTAACTGTTCCTGATTTCCAGTTGTGGTGTTTAAGTAGAAAGATTTTCAACCAGGAACTAGCTATCGGATAACCTCATTATATTGCTAAATTAAGGGCCGCTCCCAAGCCAGGGTAAAGAGGGAGAGTTAAGAGTTGGACTAGTGACCCTACACAAAAAAACCATTCAAAATGACACACAAACATTTCAGCGCATAAAATACATATTAAGCATACAAAATATTCAAATAAAAGTCTTATTTTTCGCCCAAATCGGAGAGGCGAAGGCACACAGAGGACTGGTGAAAGCCAGCTTTGGTACATTCAGTCAGACAGCCGATTTGTCTTCCCTTGATGAAATCAAGAGTAGGAATGAGGATATGGAATGTCCGTACAATATGAAAGACTGGCTGGGAAGACTGACCAGGAAGCCGACGAAATGTGAGGATCTGACATAGAAGTTCTCGGAATCTGAGGGAGCAGATAGGATGGAATTGGACTACGAAAATTGTCAACTGAAGAGTGAGTCATCCCATACGGTCTGGTCACACAGAGGACAACCGCGAACACACTGAGGCTGTGAGTGGCTATCATGATGTTACCAGTGACAGAAGCCAGAATCCTGATGCAGTGGGAACCAATCTCCTCTTTCACGATCATGACAGAAAGATTCAACTCAAAAGGCAGGTAGGCAGGCAGGCAGGCAGGAAGGAAAGAGGGTGACATGTATCATGCAATTCTACACACAAGGCCACAAACAACTCTGAAGCAGAGGCGAAGGAAGATTCCTATGGACAAGTGAAAGCATAATGGACACCCTCCGAAATGGTGACATCAAGATCCTGATGGATGATGTGAATGTGAGGCGAATTGGGAACAGGTAATACAGGAAGAGAAATTATCGTGCGTTTAGATGATCTTGGTTAGCGAGATGAATGAGAACGGAGAATTATTCACAGACGTTTTCGCTTACAGTGATTTGGTGATCGGAGGCAGGGTGTACAAGCACAAGGATATACACAAAGTAACGTGGATTTCGGCTGATGGACACACCACAAACCAGATGGACTTCATGTGAGTGCTGGCCAAGTAAGTGGAGTCACATCTAGTCTGTTGTGTCACAAATTGAAGCAGAGGTGTAGATGTTGTCTCAGACCATCATCTAGTTGAAGGAACCTACCTATGAACCTACCTAACTGAAATCCCTCAAGACAAATGGAAACAGGCCACTGGAATTCAAGTTCAACATTCAGAAATTGAAGGAGAGAACTACAATGGATACCTGCCTTAACTACTCATCAGATCAGATCAGATCAGATCAGCTCAGAGCAAAGTCGGATACACTTTGTGACATGAGTGAGGCAATCTGAGTGGAAGAACATTGGAACTAACACTCGCCACGTGATGTTCAAGGAAACGTGTACAACAGTTCTGGGAAGAAGGAATAGACACTACGAGACACAGCATCGCTCTCAACGGCTACCCACCTGGAAGCTGATTGAGGAGAGGAGAGGAGAGGAGAGGAGGACGGTGAAAGCGAATATGACTCGATGTGGGGATGGACAAGAGAAGAAGGAGGAGGAGCTGAGTTCAGTGTACACTGCATGGAATAAGGAAAGAATTGAAGAGGAGAGGAGTGACAGGACGGACGAAAGACACTTCGACGACGTACCTTCTACTCGCCCAGAAACACCACCAACAATAACACCATCACCACCACTCACAGAATCACGAACAGAACTGCCTTTTAATGGACACCAGTGCTTCGATAAAATCAGGAATCTTGGATGGGATGAAGGTAATTTACGCCGGCAGCGAAGGGGGTGGAGCGAGCACTAGAAACGGAACCAGCGACGTCTGCTGATGTTCTCACACCATTATTGCAAAAGACTTGGAAAGGGAAGAAATTACCTACCGATTGGATAAGATGCTCCTCGTCAAGCTGACTTGGAAGGGCGTTTTACACCTCACTTTGCAAGAAATGGCGTGGAATCATGCTCCTGTACACGACAAGTAAAACACTAATTCGCATCATCCTGGAGAGAATAAAAGAAGCACTGGATTCAGAACTCCGCCAGCCCCATCGGAACAAGATGGATTCAGTGAAGGCGAATCATTTGCTCATCAGATTGCATCTCTACACATCATCATTATCATTCGAAAGAGCATAGAATGGCAGTCAAACCTATCTCTACCTCAAATTCATCGACTTCGAAAAGGCCTTCACTCGACAGCTTTGACCGAGAAGTAATTTGGAAACTACTTTGACACTGTGGAGTGCACTTCTAAGGTCTTTATCAGTCTGACGTGTTTCAGGTGATCCATAATAAAGAACTCAGTGAGGCTTTCGAGGCGGATGTAGGAGTAATACAAGCTGGCTTCCTATTATCACCGACGATGATATTGTTAATTGTGGTGGACTAGATTGTGCGTCAGACTGTGTGTTGGGAGTGAGAAGACAAGAATACGCTGCACTGACCGATAAGAAGACTCTATAAGATCTGGATTTCGCGGGTGGATGATACATTTCTAATGTCACCTAAACTCGAAGACTCAGAGAAGAAAACCAACGAAAAATCAGGAGATGTTTACATCGACGATAGGACTTCCGGTGAACATAGTGAAGACGCAGGTGATGAAGATAACCAATCGACAGCGACAGCAAGAACGACCAGCCCCAATCACCATCAGGTGGGGAGATTTCACAGAGGTGACTTTTTTCAGTTATCTGACTCGAAAGCATCGTTTTTAACCGAAGGTACTCTGAACGGTTGAAGAAGTCAAAGCCAGCCAGCCAGCCAGCCAGCCAGCCAGCCAGCCAGCCAGCCAGCCAGCCAGCCAGCAGCCAGCCAGCCAGCCAGCCAGCCAGCCAGCCAGCCAGCCAGCCAGCCAGCCAGCCAGCCAGCCAGCCAGCCAGCCAGCCAGCCAGCCAGCCAGCCAGCCAGCCAGCCAGCCAGCCAGCCAGCCAGCCAGCCAGCCAGCCAGCCAGCCAGCAGCCAGCCAGCCAGCCAGCCAGCCAGCCAGCCAGCCAGCCAGCCAGCCAGTCAGTCAGTCAGTCAGTCAGTCAGTCAGCCAGCCAGCCAGCCAGCCAGCCAGCCAGCCAGCCAGCCAGCCAGCCAGCCAGCCAGCCAGCCAGCCAGCCAGCCAGCCAGCCAGCCAGCCAGCCAGCCGTCAGTCAGTCAGTCAGTCAGTCAGTCAGTCAGCCAGGATCAGAATCGAAACATACCCACGCCTTCATAAACCTGAAACCATTTGCAATATCTTCTACAATCCGCCCCAGCATAAGCAACAAGATTCGGATTCTGTTCAACACAAATGTGAAGTCACTCAGTCAGTCAGTGTTTCTGCATGGGTGAGAAACCTGCACTGTGTTTCACAAAAATGATTTCCAACAGCCAGTTGCTGACTTTTATCAACACCTGTCACCTCCGCCGGCTCGATATCGAGAATCAGATGGCCAGCTGTTCAGAGAGAATTAGTAACAAGAAACTGTGTCAATGAACGAAACAACCAAGAACCGATTGCTGAACAAATATGTAGGAGAAAGTGGAGATGGATAGGGCATAAATTTAGAAGGCCGTTGAGTGACACCACGCCCAATCGACGCCATCACTCGAGTGGAATCCGAATGTGAAGCGACGAGTGTGTCTTCCTTAAGTGAAAGGGTGCCATATAGGAGATTATGTGGTGTGGAGGAGATGAGACATTGTGGGCAATCTTAGACCCAGCTGAAGAGGACAGCAGAAAATAGAAGAAAGTGGAGTTGTATTGTTGTAGCCCTATGTTTCACTCAGAAGTCAAGGGAGTAGTAATAACAATATCTATGCCGTACTAGAGCAATTAAGAGATGAAGTATTTCTATTATTTCTCTAATTAGTTTTTTGCATTCTTTATCCTAATTGTTTAAAACAAACAATATTCTCCCCACTAAGTAGCCCGAATAGGGGAAAGTACTTTTATTTACCACTAGAAAGTTTAACACTTACTTACTGCTTATTTTTAGGGGCTTGACAGATTTTGTCTCCTCTATCCTTTCTGTTACCTTCACGGTTATTATGGTGAAAATTATGGCAAAGTCGAGAAGTGATAATACAGAAAACAGCAACGATAAATATTATCTTAACAATACTAAAGGAAAATCAAGAAAGTATATGCCACAATTAAAATGGTTAATAGTGATTCTCGCTGCTTGTTTAGTTTTAATGATTATCAACAAAATACTAATAGCTTACGCCTATAGATATGATACAAAAGAAGCCAGTCTTATTGTATACATAGGTAAGTTTATATTCATTGTATATATTTCTAATATTTTACTTGTCTGTTAACAATACCTATCAGTTACCTTGATAAAACATCTTGTGACACCTAAGAAGTCTCACTAATAGACTAAATAGACGATCAATGTGTATCCTTTGGCTAATCTTATAGTAATGAATTCAAACCTAGCGCTAAGTTCAAAACCAAGCGACTATTTCTTGTATTCCCTTAAACATTTGTGCTGTAAAGGTGCTTACAAAAACAAATGCGGTTCACTTATTCTTTCATGTTTTAATTATTGTAAGGAAGCAAGCTCTGCGAATACATGTAAGGTATGAAGCGTCGTGCTTGTAAGCCTGAAATACCAGGAGACAGGATTTATTTCAAAAACATCTCAGACATTTGTTCATTTCAATGAAATTGAATTTCCTACCAAGCATATGATGGGATAGTATTCTCTGTGTGTATTCCTAACTCATGAGGTCTTTTAATAGTAATAATAATAAGTTTCGCATTCACATCATATACGCCGATGTTTATTGGTCATTATGGCTTAGTTTATAACATGAGGCTAGCAACCCCATCCAGTAAAAACAAACACTGCTACAGAAACTTCAAGCTGGAGGCTTGAAGCCTTATGTCCCGCTGGTAACGTGAAAGAAAAAAATAGCTTAGTTTATACAGTGTGCAATTAATATATATATATATATATATATATATATATATATATATTATATACATACTAAATACAATATGTGGTATATTTATTGTACTTTGGTGGTGTGATACAGACGATGTCTTCCCACGGAATATCATTGTCACAATTACTATTTTCAAGTACAAATACTATTCCCGCAATCCAATACTGCATTGGCGACAGATGACTATGTGTATATTTGGACATTCTATTTGACCCTAGAGTCAGAATACTATTCTCATGGCTCAATATTACATTAGCAATAGAATACTCTATATGTATTTGAACATTCTATTTCGTCAGTCTGAACGAAGAATATTCTTTTCAATAACTTCTCTTCAGGTTCATACAGTTATAAAATATAATGTTTATTGTCTTTACAATAAAGGCCAGTTGTTCGGCGGATACATTTTTAACGTAGAATACCAGATTAGTTATGGGGTGTCAAAATAAATAGTCGTATTATTTGTGTGACAAACGTGCTAGGCTGAAATCGCTTACAAAATATTGTAAAGTGGGAGACAATGGTGGTGATTAATCATAATGGTTTTTAAATCACGAAAAATACCCATTTATGCCACTTAATAACCTTTTTCTGTAATATAAATACGACTGTACAGCTTGAAAATGAAGTCGTTGAAAGAAATTTCTTCGTTGAACAAAAAACTGTGTTTTTACTGATGATAGATATGTAGATTGTGGGGTAGGAAAATTGACAAGACAATTCAAGGTTATAAAAGGTGTCAGTTGAGTGGCTAGTACAAAGTGGTCTGAGTTTAACAGGAGATAGTAGGACTGCAATGAGAGGTTCATAATAAAATGACGAGTATGTGAAATGAAACAAGTGGAGGCATATATTAAGAAAACAGATAATATCATTGATAATAAGTCCGTATAAATGAAAATTCGATAGTATTGAGGGAATGTTTGCATGAAGGGCATAAGTTATGACGAATAATAATAATAATACTTGTATTGATAATAATACTTGTAGTAATAAGCAAATGAAAAAAACCAAGAGGGTTAAGGGGAAGGAGCACTCTTGGTGAGAAGAAGAATCATCTATCCAAGTTTGGCCACGGTAGGAACAGCGTCTGGACGTGTTCCTTTCGGATACAAAGTTCCTGTTTAGTCGGTCTTATTGCAACAGCTTCAGCTATGTGTAGGAGACGTAAGCGAACTGTACTTGATAACGACTTCAGAATTCGGTATATAACCCTGAAAGCTGTGTTGGCATCGATACAATGTCTAGTATCGACCAAGTGTGAAAGGATCGAGCTTTTTATGGACTTAATTTCCCTCCTGCTTAACTGACTTGTCAATTTTCCTACCCCACAATCTACATATCTATTATGATTAATCACCACCACTGTCTCCCACTTTACAATATTTTGTAAGCGATTTCAGCCTAGCACGTTTGTCACACAAATAATACGACTATTTATTTTGACACCCCATAACTAATCTGGTATTCTACGTTAAAAATGTATCCGCCAAACAACTGGCCTTTATTGTAAAGACAATAAACATTATATTTTATAATTGTATGAACCTGAAGAGAAGTTATTGAAAAGAATATTCTTCGTTCAGACTGACGAAATAGAATGTTCAAATACATATAGAGTATTCTGTTGCTAATGTAACATTGAGCCATGAGAATAGTATTCTGACTCTAGGGTCAAATAGAATGTTCAAATATACACATAGTCATCTGTCGCCAATGCAGTATTGGATTGCGGGAATAGTATTTGTACTTGAAAATAGTAATTGTGACAATGATATTCCGTGGGAAGACATCGTCTGTATCACACCACCAAAGTACAATAAATATACCACATATTGTATTTAGTATATATATATATATATATATATATAGCGGTTTGCTCCCGTGTCTTGCCTTCTGTTGTTACAATATTACCAGTATACGAAACCGTAATTATTTTGAACATACATGTGCAGGTTATTACAATGAAACCATAGTGATTATGAAATCATTGTTATCTACAAATTTCATTCAATGTTTACATGTCCAACCAACCGCATTTCCATGCATTTATTTCCCGTTTTCTTGAATCTGAATAAAGCAAATAAAACAACTGTTTCTACAGGATAAGATGGTATCGTCTTTAATTTGGTCGGCTTCTCACGATCTTCATCCAACCTAAAAATTTCAGTAGGGTTACAGAGCAATTGTAACTTACTAGCAAATGTGAACTGATTGATATCAGTTAAAAGGAGACTCCACAATTAATAAACAGTGTTAAAAAATTACACTTTTGCAGCTTATACACAAAAGGCTCGTGTGTAAACAAAACACGCAATAAGCGCTTGGATATAGCTGAAAAGGAGTTCCATTATAAAGACAAGGGGAGAATAAGATGGCGAGTATCCAATAAGTCTCACAACAACGTGATGAGTTCAACTTAAATCACAGAAACAAAAGACATGCAAAATTACATTATGAGTAAAGGGGAGAAGTTTAAAAGCGAGGGCTGCTTAATCAAATACAAGGGATAGTAAAGACGTCGAGTTACAAGTGGACGGAAGGTTTGATAACTACTTCTTTCTGAACACATAGATCGCGTGTCGAATTCACTGAAAATTAATGACTTTAGAGGTTAACCTTGAAGTGGTATAATACAAACTAATTAACACCATTTCGTGATTTATGTCCAGTTTGATTACCACACAAGAATCAGTTTATTTTTCTAGATTACAGGATAAGTGTAATGCTTATACACTAGAGACTAAAGAAGTAAGAGGTGTAATCTTTGTCAGAATAAAATTTATCTAAGGTTTTTCATTCAGTGATTTTTGCAAATGAACTACAGGGTACGATGGTTCTTCAAGTCATTCAGTCCAGCTGAATGATTTCTGTGGTGTTTATAATCGTGGTTTTATTGTGCATATTTCTTTTTGGAAAGCGTAGTATGAATCCACAATTGAACTATATTGCTCTGTATTCAGTGTATAATTTTTAAAATATACATTTATGAATAACAAAAATGGATAACTTTACAACCTATATGAATAAATATTTCATTTAGCTGCTGTGCCAAAATTGGTCAGAAATATGGGTTTAGCAGTCGTGCATATTATGTTCACAATTGTAACACCTCCGGACAAACAAGGTAAGTGAGACAAATACGCAAAGCTTATTTAAAATAAAGTTAATAGTAAGTTAGCTAACATACATTTTTCATTTCAGACGTCATTTGAAATTGCTTAAAAAATAATACAGTTAATATTACAGAACGATTTGTATGAACAAATCATAGCTTTCTCACTCTGGATAATATTGAGGCAAAGTCATCAGTATTCTTTATTAAAAGTGAATAATTATGTTCAGACTGTATTTCAACTGGTAGTTATACATCAAGTGTATGATAAAATATATGAAGAAGTCGTGTCAGGTATTGGTTGGAAGATTTCATCATGAGCTGACATCAGTTAGAGAACCATTGGAAAACCTGCAGGGAGTACTGGACAGCTGTTTTGTCCTAGTTTGGGGTTCTTCATCAGTAGGCACCCAACAAAACTAGGATGAAACAATTGTCCAGTACTCTCAGGTTTTCCAATAGTTCTCTAACTAATATCAGCTCATGATGAAATCCTCCCACCAATCAGATAGGGTTTTATTTATATAAAGTGAAGAATGCATCATAAGATGATTTAAAATTGGATAGTTATCCCAAAACTCTTTTTTATCCTGAAATAAACTCGGGTATTTGTATTTGACTGCCTATTTCTCTGTTGTATCAAAAATCCACTTTACAATCTCCCCATTAATAGTTTGCAATAAATCAGTGAATAAACACACTGAATCGGATAAATCTATTCATAACGTTACATTGTGACTAGTATTTATGCATAAAGTGGCTATAAAGATCATGGGCGGCTAGAAGGTTTGTAAACTTACGTGATTTCATTGGATATAAGCTAACTTTACCACATAGGGAAGACGCACTGAAGTACTGAGACAGCATTCTGACACTTTGTTATCGATAATACATCTAATCACAGAAGTATAAATAATTAATGAACAAACTTAAATCGTAAGTGGTGTATGTCAAATGTCTAAAAGCAACCTAAGTAAAAAAAATGCTGCTTCTGATGAATATTGCTGATCCCGCTATTCAGAGTTACAGTTCTACCAAAACTAGGGGATTCAGTTTAGTTTTCAATAGCTCCCGAAACAAACACGGCCGCGAGATTTTATGGAAGGCCAAAAATACATAAAATAAATGTTCCTTTAAGATCAATAATTGATTTTACCAATTCAGTGACATATATTTTATGAAAATATATATCACGAATACTGAAACCACTTCAATACAGTATTCCTTCGAACATCAAAAATATTAAGGAATTTAAAAGGAAAGTAATGGACATAATTATTGAAGAAGACGAAATTATGGCAAGTTTTGATGTGGTTTCTTTATTTACTAGTATTCCTATTTGTGATTCACTCGATATCATGAAATATGAACTTGAAAACAATCAAGAAGTATTAACTAAATCTTTATTATCAGTAGATGAAGTTATAAAATGCTTAAAACTTTGTTTGGAATCTACATATTTCACCTTTAAGGACGAACTAACAAGTGGAGTTGCAATGGGTTCACCAGCATCTCCAATTGTAGCAAACCTGTATTGTATATGAAGGCCCTAGAAAAGAAAGCATTGACAACTCTTAGTTGTCATCCTAGAATATGGTACAGATATGTAGATGACACATTTATTGTCATAAAGAAAGCTGAAGAAGAAAACTTTCTAACAGAAACTAACTTAATCTCAGGATATATTGAGTTTACTGATGAAATGGAATCGGCTGAGGGAACTCTAAACTTTCTTGATTGTCTTGTAAAAAGACAAACTGATGGGAAACTAAAGTTTACCATATACAGAAAGCCGACACATTCCAATAAGTATTTGAATTTCCAATCAGATCATCCGATAGGAATGAAAGTCTCAGTAGCTTTAAATCTCTTTAATAGAGCTAGAAACATTATAACTGATAATGACGATATGGAGAACGAGATATCCAATATAAAACAAATTTTGATTGGAAATGGTTATCCCGAAAAGCTACTAGATGATATTATGAATAAAAAGGAACACAAAGGAAAACAAAAAATTGAAAAATCCTGGCTATCGACGATAGCCATCCCATATCGAAAGGACACAGCTGGACAACTGCAAAGACTATTTGCTTCATATAATATTAAAGTCTATGTCAAACCTTCTAATTTTCTGGAGAAAGCACCAGTGCATGTCAAAGATATAGTTCCCAAAATTTCACGAAGTAATTGCGTTTACAGGATAAAGTGTTCACAATGTGATTCATGCTATATAGGGGAGAGCAGTAGGCAGGTGAATGTAGGAGTGAATGAACAGAGGCTATGCACGAAACGTCCACCTAGAAATGAAGTAGAATTAAAAAAGTCTAGAAAAAAGATCGGCTATAGCAATGCATGCGATAGACAGCGGACATAAGATTGATTTCGACAATGTCGAATTCCTTGGAAGAGGATTTCATTCATATAGAGAAAGATAGACTTCTGAAGCCTTGCACATTTTAACCACATCGAATGCAGTGAGTAGGAAAGAAGGGATAGACTTATCACCTATATGGGAAACTCTTATGAAGCAAGACAGATGAAAAAACAGCAGACACTCTATGAGCCTCCATGACCTTTTAAAACATGCAGTATCATGTTTATCACATATGAATTTGCGTATTTTCCATATTCAGAACAAAATATTTAGAGCGAACAATTGTTTTCAATAAATTCTTCTTCAGGCTCTACAATTATAAATCCATTAATTTAAGCATACAATAGCCGGTAAAGGCGAATTAGAATCATATCAGAAAGTGTATTGTGGAACAAGTATAAGATGGGATGGAACAATAGTCATATAATTTTTTTATATGCATGGTCAATAACAACATGGGACAGAATGAGATGAAATAATTTAATTTAATGATGTGTATATATATATAAATATAGTTAACAGAAAATACAGGTTTCAAGAGTGAGTGTAATCAGGGTGTGTGAGGCAATATGAAAATAAACCAACGAATGGGGCGGTCTAGACTTAAGTTCAAGGTTGAAAATAACAACAATAAGAATGATTGTAAAATAATAACGATGATATGGTGTAAAATTAAAATTAAATGTACTATTGGTGTATGATTGTCAAATAATAATAGTGAATATAATGAAGTGGAATGAACAGGATTTTGTAAATACGATAGCAAGTTAGAAAAGCACTATTTAAACCTAAGGTAATAAAATCATAAGAAAGGTCATGAAATCATAAAAGTCGAAAATGAACATTTGTCAATGAAACAGAGGAATAGAACAAGAAGAAGAAAAGAAAAGAAAATTGTGAAAGGAATTTATAGTGTTAATGGAGGATTTGTTGGCTTTATTGTAGGCCAAGGTAAACATAGAGGTTGAACATACTTCTTCTGTATGCAGAGGGATGGTCTTCTGGTATTTCCCATATGACAAATATGACAAATAACATACACACACACACACACACGCAGAGAAATCCAATCTTTACAAATCAACTATAGAAGAGTAAACACAACAACAATTTGACATTAGTCATTACAAATATATGTGAGGACTGCTTGCATATTTCTATTGGTAAAAAAATGTCCAAGGACAAATGACCTTCAAATAAACTGACTTCAATTTATGTAAAAAAATTTGACTATATATTTTGATTTATATATGTCCAAGCCAATTTCACTTTTAACAGTTTGAATAAACTTGGGCATTGGGTACATGATATTCATTATAATAAAGGTTTTTGTATTTGGATGATTAATAAAAATCCAAATAAATCTGCTGAAGAAACTGTGGCTTACACAGCGAAATGTTCAAAAAAAATCTTGTTTTGATTTTCTTGACACACTGGTATTAATTTAAATAATTTATAATGAGTAAATATCAATTTAATCAAAAGTTATTTCAGAAGAAAACAGACTGCATAAAATCACAGAGAAAATAAATCTAAGCAAGAATAATAACTTTATTATGCTTTATTCTCATATTCGTTAGGAATTATTCAGTGTGTTGGTGAATTTATCGCTCGTATCGGCCTAGCTATCAGTTTAACCGCTCTACCTGCAATATATTTATCAACTGTGACAACATTTCCAGAGGCTGTTTTCATTGTTGTGGCAGTACTAATTTTCATTTCGCTTGTTTTGGATCTGTAAGTTTTTTCTTTAGCGCATTCTGAGCACTTTTCACTTACTGATAAGTTTAATTTGATGATTATTGTTGAAATACAGTGCAAATCGGATAAAATAAACAGTGTTGTAGAGCTGTTCACACAAGTCAGCCTGCTCTTTCATTTTGACGACAGATTTTAACACGGATCAGATGGTAGCAATCTGGTGAATTGGGCTAGGCAATACTCCAAGAGTATGGTATTCTATAATTTCCTTACTCCACACTAACTAAACTGTGGTTACTTTCTCGACTTGGAGAGAAGACAGAAGGTAACTACTTATAGTTCAAGCTCGATTCCGATGATGTTTCTCCTTGGATGGGAATAAAACAAAATTAGACATTTCGGCTGTTCATGCTTTTCATGACTATAGATGAAGTTCTTTACCACATTTTATGGTTTTACTGACAAAAGAATTCTCCTGTATAGATTTGGAAGCTAGCTGCTCTTGATGTTCATATGTATACAGCAGTACGTATTATTTATTGGAACAAGTTAATTTGCGTTAAAACACGGTGACTTAAAGGTTTGTCGAAACCTTTTACACAAATAAATTGACTCGAGAACAAGCTAAAGGTGTTGTCATTGTTTAGGTTTTCAATATCTTACAGAACCTCCAATCAGTTTACCGTTATCTATTTGTATATATGTATATATTAATGAAAAATATTAGACTAACGACTGAGAAGCAGATGGCAGCTGCTTACTGGAATCATTCGGTTAACTGGGTTTCTAACCAACACCATGCATCTCATTTTCTATTGATTTAATCCTCCACTTATGTTCATGAGTCTCAAAAGTGCTCACACAGGTACTTAAGTGGCTTTCAAATTACCGGTGCACGTTTCTCACAGACTAATGGATTGGTCTACTCTTCAGACAGAACATTATTACGTTACATGATATGCAATAGACTACTGTTTTACGTAATGATCTTGGATGAAGAGAAAACACTGTGAAATGAATTACGTTGTATTATCTGTATATCGTGGAAAAATTCTGTCTAGAATAAAACTATTATTATTACAACATATTTCGACGTTAATGGATTCATGAATGCCAGTTGTAAACCGTCGATACTCTTAGAATGGTTAAGTGGTGCTGATAATATTTATAATTAACTGTTTACAAAATCAACAACACAAGATAGTTATCAGGCCACCGTGACTTACTGCTAAGAAAAGGAACACCTGGAACTAATTTATTATTTACAATTCACAAATTTGAAAATATTTCGATAAAGTCTGATTAGAAATCTGTGTTCATAATCAACCGATTTGAATTAGTATCATCTCTAGACACTTATCTTATAGCATTCTACACTTTACAGGTAAGTTACCACACTCACAAATTACACTCTACGTTCTTGATGTGGTTTTGTTCTCTGAGCTGGATGTTTAGTTTGCGAAGCTTTCATCACCTTACTGGGTGACATCTTCAGCGCATACTTCAATACTTCTACGTTCTTAGTGGAACATAGGGGTTTAAGCCTAAGCTTTGAAGTTTCAGTAGCAATGGTGTTTTTACAGGGCGGAGTTGCTAGCTTCACGCCCAACCTTCCCTCATTGTTCGGGTTGTAACCAGCTAAGGGAGATAAAGGTGTGCGCCGGCCAGTATTCGAACCCTGAACCACGTGCGTGGTCGGCCAACGTTCTACCGCTGCACATGAAAGGAAGGATGCAGCGTCTGAAAAAATAAATTATCTTAGAAAAGAGTTCAGATCACCTTCTTATGATGAATTCTTTAATTTAATGACCGAAAATTATGTAAATTATTTCTTCTTTCTTGAAAGGCTTCTGTTTATCTACAATGATCCAACAAAAAGCCAAGCGATTGAAGGATTCAATGAGATTCATAAATAAATTCATATGATAAAGAAGAAGTCTGTGGATGCCACAACGTTGTGTCTATTTTCACAGAGTAGTTTCAAATATATGACTGTAAAAAGTTGTCAAAATGCTACATGTATGCATCAGTCTTTAGAAAAATAAACAGTTGATTATTTTCCGTGTGGTCTACCTTGTATTTTATGTTTTCCCTCTAGATAATTAATTGTATGAGAGGGTTAAAGTAATTTATCAAGAAAATTACTAATATATTAATTACTTTGTATTCTGAATCATTAAATTATGCTGCTACTTTATATGTATATCAGTGGGGAACTGAGAAAGTGTACAGGATTCATTTATACAATCTATATTGTAATCAACTATTACCATATTTCAGTGTCATTTATTATCCTTTCATTTGTCATAATGTATAAATACATAAGATTTCAGTCAGTAAAACAGAAAATAGAAACAGGCAAACCACATGATAAAGTTAGAGAATTATTTATCAAAATGCCCAATGTATGTTCATGTTCGGGAGCGAGTTCTATAAACAACTAAATGACCACGCAATAGGTTCTCCTGTGGATGCCGTGTTAGTAGACAAAGAAATTAGTTTTCTTGCTAATGAAGTTTCTCATTCTTAAGTCTATGATATACTTGTAAAACTTAATTATTGTGTGTATTCTGTTCAAATGACTAAAAAATTATTGAGTGATTGGGTGCTGAAAACCGAATATACATACATAAGTGAGTCGTTGTATTCAGATCTTATTCGACAGTTGATGAATTGCTTTTTGAAAACCAATTGGTGTACACCGTCTTACATTGGCGCCATCAGCTTTGAACACTTAGATGACAACTACAGAATTCAAGAGGTTCTACTCCGAAATGTCAAATATCAAATAACAATAAAGCGAAATTAAAGGCTGATAGTAACATCTGTATAAGAAATCTATATTCTAATAGATCGTTCCATTAAAAACAAACAACAGGCAGTTCAGAAATCGTTTGTAACAAATATTATGCCCCTGCAAAAATATTTTCTCAGGAAGTCTTCTCAACTGAAACTGAAAGTGCATAAAAAAGTGGATTTTGAATGGCCATTGAGGCATTAAATCAAGGAAACGTTTGTTGAAGATGATTAAATAGAATGGGCTTATCTACTCTTGTCTCTACTCTATTTGCTTTCTGAGATCATACAGATACACGTATGCCATTAGCATCTAACTCCAAGTCCTCAGTATCTTCTGGAAAAATATGAATCCACGTGCTCATACATAGAATACCTGAACAAGAAAACCAAATATGTTATATTAAACACACCTTGACACCTACACTTGTAGATCAATTTATATAAATATGACACATAACACTGCATAATTAATAAAAGTTGTCAAACCTCCATCTTGCTATCTTTCATTTGGTAAATATAAGCAGCGTTAAACTTTTAGAAGCAAAATATGAAAATAAAGTTTATTATGTAAGTGTTTCCACAGATTCTATTACGTGTGTAATTCCGCTGAGCCTACGTATATGCAGCTTAAACTGTTGACAGGTGAGATGAAATCACTGTCTAAACTTTGTATAAATGCTGTCAGTAATTTCCATTGAAAGACCGTCATCAACATATCCAGTCATTAAGCTGAGTAAATAGTTATTCGTTAAAAGACTTAGTCAATAATCACAAATATACAGAAAATAGGTGTTGCAAATAACCTATATCCTGCCGAATCAAAAGTTATAAACCACAAACATGTCTAAGGATGAACGTCATGCATTCAAATATTAAAGATGGGAGAAATGTTTTTTCTTCTATAGTTTGGTTTGAAGGGTTAGTTGGGTTTTTACGAGTTGATCACGGATTGAAATCAATTAGAAAACCATTGAAAACCAGCCAGTGAGTACTGGGCAGTTGCTGTTTCATCCTAATTTGGGAATCATCGGCAGTACCTACCCACTGGACTCGAACCCAGGACCTTCCGGTTAAAAGACAAGGTCGTGTAACTAGATCTGACAAGAGTAATATCACCTTTATTCCCAAAAGACAAGATTAAGAAAAAAGCCTGGAACATATTGTATTACGCCTACAAACACTGCCGCTGTTCAATAAAATGTGTAGTAATGTCAGAAGCAGATACATTTAATCTACTTAAAGAATTAGTACCAAAACTGGGAAATCCGTTTGGTTGTCAGCAGTTCTCAAAACAAATTCAACAGCCAATTTTCATGAGGGATGAAAAATCCACAAAAATGATGTTCGTTTGAGGCAAATAATTGATTTTACGAGTTCAGTAACACATAGCTTATCGAAATACATGTCCAAAGTATTAAAACCGTATCAACACAGCATTCCTTGTAATATTATAACCAATGAGGAATTCGAAAGTTAAGTGACAGGTGGATATTGCTATTGAAAGTGGAACATAGGGATGCAAGAACACATCTCCACTTTCTCCTATTTTCTGCTGTCCTCTTCAGCTTGGACCACGATTGCCCACAATCTCTCATCTCCTCCACACCACATAATCTCCTGCATGTCACCCTTTCACTTAAGGAAGACACATTCGTCGCTTCACATTCGGATTCCACTCGAGTGATGGCGTCGATTGGGCGTGGTGTCACTCAACGGCCTCCTAAATGTATGCCCTATCCATCTCCACTTTCTCCTACATATTTGTTCAGTAATCGGTTCTTGGTTGTTTCGTTCATTGACACAGTTTCTTGTTACTAATTCTCTCTGAACAGCTGGCCATCTGATTCTCGATATGGAGCCAGCGAAGGTGACAGGTGTTGATAAAAGTCAGCAACTGGCTGTTGGAAATCCTTTCGTCTCCTTTTCAGCTCCATATTACAAACAGCAATTCAATACTTAATAATAAATTATTAAAATATGAGATTATACTCTACCACGGTGCTCAAATTCCAATTTTATGTCAGTTAATACTCTGTCATGTGTAACGTCTCAGTGTGCGTGCGTGCGTGCGTGCGTGTGTGTGTTAGTCTTTAATCTTATTGGTAGTTTAAACAAAATGACCTAACATTTGATCACGTGGTGTTCTAGTCTAATATTGTTAGCAAAATTTGATGGAGAAAATCAAACCTTCTTAGACTGACAACAACATTTTCATTTAACTCTTGATGATAAAATGCTGAACAGTGTTTTAATTACAGACAGACAAGCAGAAAACGAAATTCTTTTTAATGAGGAGATAAATGACTTATACTACCCCTCAAAGTAGGTTTATATTCTAAATATATACCTACTTTCAACAAACGTATTTAACTAAATCGATAATGGCTTTTTGTGTAATAAAAATGAAAGTGAATCGTTAAGTAGGTTATTTTACTGAAATGGAACAGTATGTTAAATAGATAATTTTAACTAGAGGTGTGTAAAATAGATCAGCCATGAGTTCATTTCATAATATTTTACAGAAATGAAACGAACACCAGAATATAACATATTTTATATCCTTTTTATCCTAAACTTCGTCGGCCATGAAAATGCCTGTGACAGATCTTATAGTGAAATGCTTTGGATACTATCTCAACACGACAGAGTGCCTTAAATCTTTATCAACCTCATTCAATGAAAAAACCATATATTAAGTGATCCTCAATGGAAAACTGAGCGAAGCGTTTGAAATAAATACAGGAGTAAGACGAGGCTTCCTCCTATCACTGAAGATATTTCTAACTGTAGTGGATTGGAATATGCACCAGACTGTGGGGAGCAAGAAGATGAGAATATGCTGGACTGATAAGAAGTAATTTAAAGCAGTTAGTTCCCTTTATGAATTTCGACAACACAATAAGAAGACGTAGTTTATCTGAAACGTGTGATGTATTGGCGCAACACATTTCGGACATTCTGATCCCACATGTACTTGTTATACACAGTTTTTATAGAAGGCAAGAAGGCATGAATAATTACAATACATGTCAGACTGTGTACAGGTCAAGGTCACAAATAATGGGCAGGGAGACGCAAAAGGTGTGGGTAAGAAAGATAAAAAGAGAATAAACGAAGCAAAGAAGGGTGGAAAATATTATGAAGTAAATCCAACCTTGGTTCTAACTTGGATTACCAAGGCAGGTTTAAGGTATAACAAATAACTTTTAGACACATAAGACAGGTTTAAGTCTTTTTACAGCTAAGGCTTCAATGAATTTAAGTATGTGTCCCAACCTTGTTTTATATATCGGCTTAAAGGCATTGTTGAAATCAACCTTATGACTCGTCTCTATTAATATTCTTGGCTATAGATGATGTTGGACATCTGTTTCCGGGGTCAGTTGTGTCTGGCGATTTCATTTCATTTCATCCCTTTTGGGAGCTAATTGGATTGGTAAAACTCTATGGTTGACACTTCCGTAACGTCTAATAAACCTGAGTGGGTAATCGTTATCTAACAATATTTCAGTGAGGTGTTGTCTTTTTTCTTCACTTGTATCAGCAGTACATAAATGGTGAATGCACTTGAACAAACATTTAGCCAACGCCTTTATATACTGTAGTGGACAGAAACTATGATAATTTAAATACTGTCCCGTCCATGTGGACTTTCTGTAGGTAGATCGTTTTACTGACCCATCTTCTCGGCGGGTTATGAGTACATCTAAAAGTGGCAGGTAACCATTGTTCCCTTTAACGTATGTTAGCGATATACTGCTTTGTGCTCTGTTGATCTGGTTCAGGATTTTTATGGCGTCTGTCGGTTTATCACAAATGACTATTATGTCGTCTACATATCTTTTATAAAAATAAACGTTTCCAGTCTCTTTCTCCGCTTGGTTCTCGACATGCGACATATATATACCAGCTAACAATGGACCTAGGGGCTTCCCATGGCAGCACCATCGATCTGGCGGTAATGCTCGCCCTCGAATGTAAACTTAACATTTTTAGTACAAAAAAGCAGTAACTCTTTTAAGTAAGATATGTACACTGGTAATAGGAAATCGTTGTCAGAGATGTAATCACATAAAATGTCAACCGTCTGTAAAAGAGGTACATTTATAAATAAAGATTCGACATCTAGGGGAAACATGGTTTTATCCTTCATATCAACGTTATCAAGACAATCAATTAACTCAAAAGTGTCTTCAATGAGAACTTACAGAAGCTCTAATATTTCCACTAGCCACTGTACACGTTTATTATTTTTATTTACTTATTTTGATTACAGCTTGATTCCACACCGTATTTTTGGTACAAGTATGGAATTTTCAGCATGGATATCGGTAGCCCAAATTTCGCAGGCCGACCATAGATATCAGCTGTGCGTCGGCGTGGGCTGGAACCCCGGACCATGTGCATGGTCGGCGAGAGTCCTAACCATTGTGCCACCGACGCACAGTTTGTGGGTTGGAGATCTGCACATTGACATTATGGGACGTAGAGGAATGTTAGGTTTATGTGTTTTGGGCAGACCATACATGTGTGGTAATTGGGGTAAGAAGTACCCTGGAACCAACAAGTTGGCAGAAGAGGGAGGCAGCAAAGACGGAACTCCGGGTGAACATAGGGAAGACGGA